GTTTGGAACATAAAAACTGGTTTGAAAGACCACAGGCCTCAGCAGGCAACTTGATATGGCATAATAAAACTTCAGTTAAATTACTTAAAAATTTTTTTCTTAGACCATGGTTATAATTCTACCTTTGTGCTAACTAGCTTTGATCTTGGGCAAATCATTTGCCTTTGACACCTTTTACACTTTTCTTTCCATTTATTTCTCGCGTTAATATGCACAGATGTATTTCTTGTCTCCCACAGTAAATACTTTCTTTGAGGGAAATGATGTGGATAATAAATACGGATCTTTTACCATTGATTGTTTATAATACCCAAGAAGTCTCTCTGTAAAATAGTGTCAAATTAATGAATATAAATAGTGAGAACCACCTGTTAGAAACAAAATAAAGTGATAAAACCCCAAACAGAACCTGAACTATTTACATTAACTTAGGCCAGCAGGGAAGCCTCCCTACCTTTTATTTGGCCTCTAACAACTTCAGAACATTGTCTAATATGCTAAGGGCCTGAGAGCCACAGCCACGCTGTACTTCACTGTGAGAGAAGGAAGTGTGCCTTTCCGCAGGAGAGCCTTTCCCAGGCCTTTCTTCATCCTTCCTCGCAAAGGTTTCATAGAGCACAAGGAGGGACAAAGGGGAGACCTGTCAGTTTTTTAAAGTATGGCGTGGTTTGGTTTGGTTTCTGTAATAGGTAATTCTTTAGATTTCTTCAACCTCTTGTGATTGGTAATACCAGTATTCAGTTCTCACTTCTGGGCAAGCTACTTACGGCACTACGGGCAGGCAGACGCCCCAGAGGAAGGTTTAGGGACTCGTAGTATTCTCCCTTTAACAGCACTCAGCTTCTGTATAACCTAAAAGTTCTTGCTCCAGCGACTCTGGCCAGCATACCCCCTTTCTGGGCATCCTTAGGTTACGAGCTCCAGCACAGGTGGCTAGGAGAGCTAAGCCAGCAGAAGAAAATCAAAACTGAGGAAGGAAGAGAGGAGAGGTCATAAGGACAAGTGAGTAGAGTCTTTGACTAATAAACACTGAGATGGCTTTTTCATGTGATTTGCCAAATGTCTTTGGAGGCAATTCCAAAAGAAAAGTTTCAAAAATGTTCTAATACTAGTGTCACACAGAGTGCATGGCTTCCCAAAAGCACCATTTAAAGCGTAATAATCACTGGAGTCAAGATTTGGCTTAAAAATTAATTTTTAAATTAAATGTAGAAATCACTGCTTAAGTGATAGTTATAACCCACGAAGATAAGGAAATTTGGAGAATGTATGGGTGGGTTAGAAACACTTTAAATTTTATAGTCTAAGGACTAAATTCAGCACTATGTACTTCTGCATTGGCCAATGTTAAAAACTTTGAGACTGCTTTGAGGAAAGAAGTTTTTTTAAAAAGTGCAAATGAATGGCACGTGTAATTTCAAAGTAATCCTTTGTTACAGAATATATGGGTGTTTGGGTGAAGCAGAATGAAGGGCCCACCTCAATTTTATATACAGAAGTAGCATAGTCTGAGAGTAAGAGTTTTTTTAGTTCAATAGACCTAGTTAACACCCTAGCTTCATTTGTTTGTAGTTGAATAACTGCAAATTGTTTAACTTCTCTGTGACTGTTTCCCTACCTGTACAATGCTTAGTGAAGTGCCTGGCAAGCAGATGATATTCAATGAGTATCAGTTCCCCTGTAAGCATGGTGGTGTTTGTTTCAAACTAAGGGTCTCAACCTATTGGTAGATTATGAAATCACTTGAGTATGTTGCAGCCAGCATATTTTAGAAACTAAAACATTAAAAAACATCAGAGTAAGCTGCACATTAAAAGTAAGAATAGTTCCATTATATATATGCTGAGTTTTGATATAAGTGCATTTTTTATTGTGGGTTACAATAAAAAATTTCAGTCTCTGAAAATAAATTATTAGTTTATTTTATCAAAAAATGTCTTTAGGAGTGCCACCTTTACCCACTATGCCTCTATAAACTTGAAGAACTTAATAAAAGTGCTTAAAGTGTTCCTTACCTTTTAACTTGTTGCAATAAAAATAAGACATGAATTACAGAGAAGATGAATTTGATCTGATACTATTGGGCATTAAATTCCACTTTAAGATTAGTTTCTGTGTCATATTGACTAATATATACTTCTAAACACTATAGTTTACAGGTATATCATAGATAATTGATTAAACACGTCTAGAAACTTCTACAAAAAGTTGGCTATTAGGATCTATAATAGGAAAATTAGATACAAGTTCTAAATCAGTTTAAATAAAACTTTCTTAAAAGGACTGTAACATTGCCTACTCATGAAGACTTGTAGAGAAATATTCCAATCCTGATTAGTAAAAATCAGAGGCCTTTATGAGCACATGCACTGTGTCTCACACTGGCTCAATAAAAATGAGAGCCCAGACCAAAACGTGAGCTTTAATTATGGGCCTCCTCTCTCCTTCAGGTCCTGATATAAAACCAGACTGACAGTATAATGACTCCCTAGTTGTGTTAAGATCGTGGGCTTCAAAGCACGGAGTAGGAATAATATGCAGTGATGAAGACTGGGCATTGTTGAAGGGAATACTAGAAATTATAGAATTCAATGATACAGCTGAATCTTGATGTAACTGTCTTAAATTTGTAATCTTAGCTGATCAGGCTAGATTGACCATTAGAATCACATGTGGGACTGAAGGTTAGGAATCTTATTTTAAACAGGCACCCCAAGTAATTCTGATCCTCATTCTGGTTTGAACTACTTGTGTTAAAGGGACATAGATCAGAAAATTTTAAAAAGTGGAGCTCAAAAGTAATTATCCCAACCTTACAGGTATCAATATCAAATACTGAATCAGAATCTGACACTTGTTCAAAGTATTTCCTTCTTGGTATTAAAGTAACAAGTCAACAGGCAGCAATACAGTTCTTGATATTGTATAGTTATTTAAGGACAATAAGAAATGGTGCTTCTTCTCTTTGGAATTTATTGGTGAGAAGAACCAAAAAGTATGAAGGAGAAAGGTCTCTTTAGAGACAGAAATAAAAGGTAGCAATCAATAAAAGTTGTTAAAAGTAAGCTCAGCAAGAGAGAAATGATAAACCATTCCACTGCCTGATGACTCTGGCTCCTGAGCAGAGAAAGCCCAGATCTTTTGTGGTGTTGGTACCCTTTCCTCTGTCCTCAGAAAAAAAGAGTAAGGCAAAAGGTGGTTCTTTCCTATTTCAAATGAGTTGGAGGTAAGGATGAGGCTGCCTGTAACCTTAAATTCTTTCTAAATTTAAAACCTTTTTGCTCTTTGATATAGACACTGGGTTGGGCTGGGCCAAGCTTGCTGTCAATGTCAAGTGTTGGAATTAGCACCACAAATCCATCAGGACTGAGAGTTGGCACCAGGCTTTGTCCATCATCAACTTGAATATGAGAAAAGGCAAGCAGAATGCCACTCTTGGGAAGAAATAGCAGCTGTGAAAGTGAAGGAAAGCACAGGAGATAGCAAAGCCTGGGGGAAAGGATGGTAGCAAGAGATATGAGGTAGAAAGCTAGTTCTTAGCTTCACCAAGGGCCGGCTGAAAAGACCTAGGGTTAGAAACTCCCTGTGTGGCAGGTACATCAGCCACTGAGATTGGAAGATGCCCCAGGAAATGATCTGGCATATTCCCTGCCTGCTTATTTTTTAGCTCAAATTCTAACTATTTGGAGATCTCTTTCTCGCTGCCTCCCTCCCTCTCTTATCTAGAGATTATAGGAAAGGATGAATAAAGATGGGAGACAATTTTTAAAAAGCAGATTAGGACTGGCTGGTGTGGCTCAGTGTTTGAGCGTCAACCTATGAACCAGGAGGTCATGGTTGTATTCCCGGTGAGGGCACATGCCTGGGTTATGGGCTCGATCCCCAGTGTGGAGCATGTAGGAAGCAGCTGATCAATGATTCTTTCTTCATTGATGTTACTATCTCTCCCTCTCCCTTCGCCTCTGAAATCAATAAAAAATATATTTTAAAAAAGCAAATTATGAGAAAAACCCTCATTACACATGGATAGAATTCACCCCACAAGTCAAAGAACTTTTGAAAAATACAAGGGAAGGAAGGCAGAGGGCACTACTTCTGTGAAGAGACAAACTGACAAATAGCTGGCTTAATAACACTGTCTCCTACCACTTGAGATTTTGTCTTTATTTAAAGAGAGACAGAGGGAAAAGTTCAGAGAGTCAGTGTCACAGATTAAGATGTTTAAAAGAGAAGTTGGGCCTTTCTTTCACTATTAGTTTCCTTCATCAGAAAATATAGTGGGCCTATAGGAAACTTCGATAGTTTCATCCCATGACTCTACCATGTACTTCACCTGTGCCCTTGCCAGATCTGGATTTCCTATTTGAAAGAAAGACTCCTGAACTCCCATTCTTTTCTTTGCTGTTAGGCCTAAATAATCTCCTACATTTAGAAGATAAAAAGCATATTTAACATATGCTTAGTCTTAGGATCTCCAAATCAGGGTTAGGAAAGGAACTATTCTTTCATAACCCAACATGTCCACACATCACATGTCCTTATCAAAGTTATGGGTTCAGTTTTCACACTTCCAGAAAGAAAATCTGCTCCCTGGCAGTCTTCAAACTACCTGACAAACATTATACACCCTCAGCCCAGGCCCCTCAATTCCATTAATATACCAGCAAACAAAAATATATATTCACTTATCACAGTCCAATCCCACTTGAGCATCTACAGCCACTGTCCTATATAATAAAAGGCTAATATGCAAATCGACCGAATGGTGGAAGGACTGGTCGCTATGACACGCACTGACCACCAGGGGACACATGCTCAACGCAGGAGCTGCCCCCTAGTGGTCAGTGCACTCCCACAGGGGGAGCGCTGCTCAACCAGAAGCCCTGAACCAGGCTCACGGCTGGCGAGCACAGTGGTGGTGGCGGGAGCCTCTTCCACTCCTGTGGCAGCACTAAGGATGTCCGACTGATGGCGGGGAGCGGGCCTAAGCCATCAGTTGGACATCTCCCGAGGGCTCCCAGACTGGGAGAGGGCACAGGCTGGACTGAGGGACCCCTCTCCAAGTGTACGAATTTCGTGCACCGGGCCTCTAGTCTTGATATAATCATGTTCCAAAAGCTGAGTGTCCGACAGCAACAAAGGTCCATTAGTATAAACATGTTGGAGCCAATAATACTGAAGTTTGGTTTTTAACTGCATTTTTTGTCAGTTTGGCTGGGAAGATCTGGACAGCTGGAAATGAGCTTCTCCGTCATTTTCTGTTTCCTTCTTTGTATCAATTTTCCACCTGTGAAGCCCAACACCCCACCACCAAGTGCAGCTGCAATTCCTGCCACTTTGAAGCCTGCAAGGAGGCCAATCGGACCCCCCACCGCTCCTCCGAGGAGTGCACCTGCCACAGGCAGAATTGCCAGCTTGTATTTTGCAGCCTGTAAAAAAAAAAATTCAATTTAGAAATTGAGTTGAGAATATCTGCCTGTGGTGATGTGCATTTTCCTCTCATTACTCCTGCCAATGCCTCTTTAACTCTTGGTACATAATTAACCTTAGAGATTGTACTGGAGGGAGGGGGCAGAAAGAGTATTCCACAGGTACTACAATTGCTCCAGAACTCAGAATTTAGAGAAACGGGCTACAAAGAGCTGACTGCTACAAATTGAATTTACTTGCAAAACAATCAAACCACTAACTACCTCACTGGCTTATTTAAACAGGTTCAGCAGCCACAGATACCCCAAAGTTTTCATTTTGCACACATATTATTCCATGCCCTGGGGTTAAACGCAAAATTCTATGGAAAGAGATGGCCCACTCCACACATGCTGTCACATCCTTAGATTTTTGTCCCTGCTGTATTCTGGCAAGCCTCTCTATGCCCCTGAACCTCTAAATATTTCCTTCTAACACCAAATACCTTAGAGTGGGGCTGCAGTTTATTCTCTCTTTGAAAAAAACTTCTCTCCCAACAGAATGAAAGAGTAGAATATTACTACAGCCATTGATTTCTTGCACTACCTATGTGTCATTTCTTCCTTATTTCCTTAATTGCTAGTTCCCTCAAGATTAAAGAGAGCAGATCAATTGGGTTAATACTACAAATTCCTGGGAGCCAGAGTAACATTGATTTGTCAGCAGGAGCAGAATCTTACCTTCCCCAAGTTTCTGGTTCCCTCTTCAACATTCACAGCAGCACTGTTGACATGGTCCTCAATGCTGTCAATCTTCTCCTGCTGAGACTAGATGCAAAGGAATTATGAGTGAGCATTCCTGCTGGGGAGCAGCAGAGAGCCAATACACACTATTTTAATTCCTGTAATCAGGGCCCTGTGTACTGCAGCCTTGCAGTCTTAATAGTGGTTCATTAATAGCATCTGATAAACTATGTCCAAAGTACAAATTCACTTTTTTTTTTAAAAAAAAAGAGGGTGACTTATTTATTAGGTAATAAAAGGCTGGCACCTTTATAGGAAAAAGCATCTCACGCTAAAATTCATTCAAGCATACAAACATTCTCCAAATGAATCTATTTTCCAGGAGAAAAGAAATTCAAGTAAGCATTTACATGTCATGTGGGTTTGACAGGAAAAAAACAAAAACAAAAACAAAAAAACCTCCCTAGCTTATCTCTTTGAAGATTCAGTTTAAAACAGGCAAATTTGACTTAGGAGTAAAACTCCCTTGACCCAATAAATACAAATTATTACATTTTAGAAATAAGAATACAGTGTGGTTTGATCTGCCATGAAATCTTTCTACTTCTGATCTGATAAGCAGTAAGGAGCAGAGAATGAATTTACTGTCCTGTGTTTTACACCTGTACAATTTAATACATTTTAAAATCATGACAAGCTAAAATGTTTCTGATCAAATATATTAATAAATCATTCTACATAAAACGACAACACCTGCACTGACACAACAGAAATTGTGACTCACAGAATCTCTGGGTAGAAGGAATTCTTAGGTCATTGAGTGGAATTTTTCCCTCAGATGTGTAAAGCCCTACTACAACATTTCTGACAAGTGGTTACCGAACCTCTGCTCAGACAATAAAACTTCTTTAATGTTAGCTCCCCTCCCCTCACCACCCATAGAAGCATAAATGCCAGTTCTGACACCCTACCCTTGTTTCTCTTTAGGACAACCCCACACTTTCTTGCTTGAAAGTCTATGCTAGAAGATAAATCACAGATGCAAAGCTCTATCAACAACCTCCATATCTTGATGAGTTGAAAATAGTCAACATGTCCCCTTTTTCTCAGACCCAAAAGAATTCCATCAACATGGCAGAGCCTGCCTGAGCCAACCACTGTGGCTCAATGGTTGAACATCGACCCATGAACCAGTAGGTCATGCTTCATTCCCAGTCAGGGCACATGCCTAGGTTGGGGGCTCAATCCCCAGTAGGGGGCATGCAGGAGGCAGCCAATCGATGATTCTCATAATTGATGCTTCTCTCTCTCCGTCTCTCTTCCTCTCTCTGAAGTGAATTTAAAAAAATATATTTTAAAAAAAGATGGCAGAACCTAGCAGAATTACTATAATGCTCCTTCGTACAAGGTTGGATATTGAAGCTCTATGACTTTTTTTTAATAAAGTAAAATTCTAAAATAATTTTATTAAAAAAAATTTTTTTCACAAAAATACTTTGGGATTATTGGAGAAAGGATCACAAGACAAAACAAAGCCTGAGGTTACTGATTATTTGAACTGTAACGCTCACCACCATTGCAATCACCAGTACTAAATGAGGCCTCTCTCACCCTGGGGAGTAGCCCACACCTCTAAGTACTTATTCACTGACATAAGGAAGCTTGCTTAAATACGGGCTTGGAAATGAGGCAGAGAGCAGACCACCCCCTATCCTGGGATCAGTAGTCATCCCTCAGTTGTGTAGATCTGCCTTCTTCTTCCCCTATTTTGCTTGTTTTGAATCCCAAACTTTGCCCATATCTTCAAACTCTGCTTCTTGAGTAAGAAGGACTCAAAATAACAGAAAATTAGATTTAGGCAACTGGTGTCAAAGTGTTAGTAACTGTCCACAGCATGACCAGCCAGACTCCATTCAGAGCAAAATCTGGTCACCACCTTTCCACTGTGTCCTTGGGTCTGTATGTTGGGCAAAATAACACATACACAATCTTATCTCAGTACAGAAACCCGAGCTCTTAACAACAGTGGCTCAGGAGCCTCCTCACCTATATCTACTAATCTCCTACATCTACTAATCTGCCTGTAGTGCCCACATTTGACAACCTTCAAACTCTCTTCCTGACATTATATACTTTGGTGGCTCGTGTATGTTCTCAGCATCCCTTTAACAATAAATTAAATCACTCATGAGAATCACTGCAGTGTTTCTAGAGTAATACATGGACTTTTTCCTTTTTAAATAAAAATTATTTCAATACTAATGAAGAATTGTTTTTCTCTCTTTTTAAAAATATTTTTTAGTGATTTTTAGAAAGAGAGGAAGGGAGAGGGAGAGAGAGAAACATCTATGTGGGAGGAAACATCCACTGGCTGCCTCCTGCACACCCCCTACCAGGGATTAAACCTGCAACCCAGCATGTGCCCTGATCAGGAATTGAACCAGCACCCTTTCAGTGCATGTACAATGTCCAACTAACTGAGCCACACAGGCCAGAGTGAATTGTTTTTCTTTTGAATGTTGATGTTGATAGTTATAGGCACACATCCTCAACCTGTGGGTTGCGACCCCTTTGGGGGTCGAACGACCCTTTCACAGGGGTCGCCTAAGACCATCCTGCATATCAGATATTTACATTACGATTCATAACAGTAGCAAAATTACAGTTACGAAGTAGCAACAAAAATAATTTTATGGTTGGGGGTCACAACATGAGGAACTGTATTTAAAGGGCCAGAAGGTTGAGAACCACTGCTCTATATCAAGTAATATTAATACATTCAACAAATCTATTCCCAAATCCATTTACATCAATAAAAATGCTCTCTCTTGAACAGTCTTGCTAATAGTTGTGCAGTTTTATGATTGTGCTTGAAAAGCTATGGTTTAAGAAGTTAATGCCAAAACTCCAGAATTTTTTCTTTATTACTAACTCCAAATTTCAGCCAGCTTTCAAGCCAGCTCTACTCTTAGATCTTGACCAATCCAGATAACATTGATCTATCCTGGTTCTGAATTATATGTAGTCTAAATATATGTAGTCTCTATCCTGAATCATATGCAATCACATATAGAGAAAAGCCCAAAAACAAACATACAAATGCTATGATATACAAGGAGAACACAGGATTATATTCACCTACAGTAGATAATAAATGAAGTAGGTAAGTAGGATGTTGACATCAGGGGATTTAGCAACAGGAAAGGGCTGTAGGAGCTATAGTACTAAAATATCTAAAGATAATGTTGGTAGCAAAAGTAGAATTCTAACCAAGGAGCGTAAGGGAATCAACTAAGGGAGGAACAAAAGCAGGAATGCAGTGGGGTAATAGAAGGGAAGGAGGGTGAGAAGTAATAGGCATTACTCCTCCCATCAATTTACATTTACTCCTCCCATCAATTTACAAAGCTCATTATTGTCAAATAATATCCTGACAGTCACATAGGTAATAAATGGAAGAATCTGATCTAATCCACTACAACCCAGCTTTTATGCATCCAGAATAAAACTGGATTTAAAAATCCATAGTGAATAAGGCAAAATGTAGAGACAAAACTGGACCTATAACTAGGGTGACCTGCTATTAAGCAACTGGGGCAGCATTTTTTAAATTCCCCTTGACTAGAAATAGGGTTGGTTCCACAATTACAGGAAAGAGAACACTTGAACAATAAAGGCTGAAGAAAAATAAAGATGGGGCCAAGTACATATTAATTTATTACCATCTATTAGACCATATCTGGATGTCTCAATGGTTTTGTAAGTTCTTTTTTTATTATGGTAAAAATTAAAATAAAATTTATAATTTAACCATTTTTAAAATATATATGTTTTTATTGATTTCAGAGAGGAAGGAGAAGGAGAGAGAGATAAAAATATCAATGATGAGAGAGAAACATTATTGGCTGCCTCCTGCACGCCCCCCCCCCCCACTGGGGATTGAGCCTGAAACTCAGGCATGTGCCCTGACTGGGAATCGAACCATGACTCCTGGTTCATAGGTCAACACTCAACCACTGAGACACACCAGCTAGCCACAATTTAACCATTTTTAAGTATACAATTCAGTGGAATTAACTACATTCACAATGTTGTGTAACTGTCATGACTATCCTATAGGTTCTTTTTTATACTATTCTCTATTCTTAGCTCAGTATGCACACAGAAAGTGCTCCATAAATAAATGGTTAACTTGCCTAGATACTATCATGTCCATGTGATGATAATGAGAGGATGTGGTCACTCTGATTATGTTCCCAAGTCATTTGTTGCCTAAATGGAGCTTCTGTGAGTCCTTGACCATGTGGTCATGAGAATTCAGTCACCCTGGGAATAGTAATCAGGGTTTCTCCTTTGAGCTATTGCTTAATAACAATCTGTCCTTACACAGATTATTATAAATAGGACATTTGTATAGAGCTATGGCTATAGTCTAACTCTCCCTGCACGAACCTTCCTTAGACTAGGGATTTGAACTGCTTAATAACCTAATAGTACTAGTATATATAATAGTTAAATGGCCCAAAACCCTTCATTTTCCTTTCATGTGTCGATCTCACTAGAAGGGAAATGTGTTTGTCTTGAATGAGAACTTTTTAACATGTTTAGTTTGTTTTTTAAATAAACTTTAAGTATAATCTACGTACATCAGACCTCACACATTTCATGTGTACATACCAATGACTTTTGACAAATGTATATATCTGTATAACCAGACATATACAGACCTTACAAGATATATTAGATCAGAGATTATGCATTACAATTAAATAAATCTTGATTCTAAAAACAACAAATATTTTGGGATTCTTGTATCATTCTCTTTTATATACAAATATGTTAATGGTTTGTACAGATACCTAATCCAGAAACTTCATTTTGCTTCTTCTGGCTTAGAGGCATCAAAAAAAGGAAAATGCTTTAAAGATTTGCTATATTTGCCGTAGCTGGTTTCTCAGTGGTTATATCATCTGCCCGCAAACTGAAGGGTCAAAGGCATATATCTCGGTTGCTGGCTCGATCCTCAGCCCCTGTTGGGGTGCCTGCCGAAGGCAACCAATCGATACATCTCTCTCACATTGGTGTTTCTCTCTGTCTCTATCCCTCCCATCCATTCTCTCTAAAAATCAATGGAAAAAATATCCTTGGGTGAAGATTAACCCCCCCCCCCAAATGTTTTTAAACAATATTCAATTTAAGCATTATATTTCAAGAACAAAATCCACACACTAGAGAACAAGCAGAGTAAGGGTCTAGTACTGATAAGCCTAGAAATCATATTCTAGGAATACATTAGCGAATCAAGGGTTTTTAAGAGAAGACAATATGGTGATGGTAGGATAGAGTGAGGAAAGAGAAGGTAGTCTCAAAGGTTGAAAAACTTTTATATGGAAAAGATATAAAATTTGTTCAGCATATGGCTCCATGGAGCAAAAGTACCAGAGGGAAGTTATTAAAGGGCAGAGTTTACTTTACATGAGGAAGAACTTCTAAGAGCCTCCAAGTGGGATGGTTGAAGTATGATGTGTCCCTGCACTGTAATTGCTCAAAAAGAGGCGAAAGACCATCTATTTGAGAAGTTGGGGCAAGAGTAGATTAGTTGACCTTTTCAATTCCGAGATTGGTTGATTTAGGAGCTCTTATAATTTAAAGCCAGGTGTCAAGGAAATCATAACTCAAAAATGTACAACCCCCAAATCATAGTTTGATCAAGAACAAAGAACTAAACCTAGACAGAAGCATAAGCAGAAATAGGGTTGCTCCTGCAGGTACATCCATACATACACACACATAACTAACTCATACATCCAACCTTCCCACACACAATTCCTGGGAAGAAAAAATAATTTAGAAAAATAGTAACAAAATCTATTCTATTTTTTCCAGTGAGTTTACTTTATGTTCTCTAATCGATGTTAACAGTTTCACTGGCTACCTGATTATGCAGAATAAAGTCTTAGTGTTTCTTATCTTTGACTTTTCCATCTTCCTCCAATTTCTACCCCAGAAATACCTCTCAGTCATCCCTTATCCATGGGAAATATGTTGCAAGACCCACAGTAGATATCTGAAACCACAGATATTACTGAACCCTATATATACTGTGTTTTTTCCTATATACACACACACACTTTACAGCTTTGCTTTGGTATATACAAATTGCCAGCATCACTACTCTTGCACTTTGGGGTCATTATTAAGTAAAACAGGGTTACTGGAACACAGGCATTGTAATACCACGACAGTCTAGCTGATAAGCCAAGATGGCTGTTAAGTGACTCAGGGTGGGGAGGATATACAACATGGATACTATGGACAAAGGGATGATTCATGTCTTGAGCTAAGACAGAGTAGGACAGTGCCAGATTTCATCATGCTACCCAGAACGATGTACAATTTAAAACTTATTATTTCTGGAATTTTCCATTTAACATTTTCAGACCACAGTAACTAAAACCATGGAAAGCAAAATTGTAGAAAGCAAAACTACAGATAAGGGGGGGACTACTGTACTTGCTTTGCCATTGCTCTTTGTGAAACTCTTGCAATCGATTCCTAACCAGTTATCCTGCCTATAATCTTCCCCTCTCTAAGGCCATTCCTCACGCTGTGATCTTACTGAAGCACAGACGGGATGGATCACAGCACTCTACCTGTTCAAAGATCTATATTGGCTCCTACATAGTAAAGTTCAAATTATTTGGTATGGCCTTCAATGCTATCGGAATCTCACCCTAACCCTCCTTGCTTTGCTTGCCCATGGTACCTTATGCTTAGATTATACTGCAATACTTGTCACTCCTAAAATGTACTGTACTCCATGTCTTTGTTCAGCTATTTTCAAATGTACCTCTCACTCCACCTGTGGACACTTTACTCAATTTTCAAGGCTCAAGCAAAGGCTACCTATCTTGTGAAGCTACCCTTAATGCTTTCACCTCACAACCCCTTCCTCCTTCAAATGCTGCTTCTTGGAGCTTATATTACTTCTTGTCATACCTTATTTTTGCATTTAACAATCATGCTTGAAATTTCAAGTTTGGAGATCCAAGCATATCTCTACCCACTGTAAATCCTTAAAGGCAGAGAACAGGCTTCATTTATTTCTATAGCCAACCTTATCAGACCCCAATGCCAAGGATCTAATACAGTACCTTTTATGGCTCCATAAAAGTGCTTCATAAATGTTTATTGAACCTATCTGGAATTTGACAACAATTGGACTTCTATCCATGACCAAATAGCAGTCTTAAAAATTATAACTTCTATTAAAATTCTAGTCAAAAGTCTAATGACTGATAAAAGCCTTTTAGCTATTAATCTAACATCTCTGAGCCAAAAACAGTCATATACTTACATTCACTAGGAGAGAGAATTCTGTGACCAGTTGGCTAAGTTCAATTAGGTCCTTAAAAGGAGAAAAAGAGAGAGGAGCTTATTTACTTTTATGCCTCACAGTTACCAAAAGGGAAAAAAAAAATTAACATACCGCTTCTAAGGTTTCCCATGATTCTGCAGCATTTTGATCTTGAGGAATTTCAGGCAATGCATATATCTGAGTCATACTCTGAGGATCAGCTTCAGCTTCAGTAGTGTGAAATGCTCCTGGATGAACATAGCCTCATGTTTAGAGTTTATTTGCTTTGCTAAAAAGGCAACAGCATGAATCAACTCCATAAAACAATTGTCATGTAAAATGCTTACTAATTAAATTCAGACTGAAAGTAAACTGATTATTCTATAAAAACAGATTTATCTATAGGCAGATTGTTCCCAGGTTAACAAATATTTTTTAATTTATTCTACAAAGTCATCTTAAAAAAAAATGGCTACAACTACTATCTACCACTCTGAATAACTAGGGTTAGATGTGAAAGCACCACCAAAGGAAAGCTATTTTATTTGGCCAATGTTCCATGAAGAGATACCCAGGTTTAACACTTTCATTACTAAATTATTAACCTTTTTCTTTGGCTATTTTAGTAATAAACATCAGATCCTTAAGTTGTTAAAAGTAGAGAAGTAATGTGTTTTTAGCAATGAAAATCAGTCATTTTTGGTAACAAATTTATCATAAAAACTAACACCTATTACTACATGTATATTTTTGTACATATTGACACCCTACTTCTCTTCAGAGTCATTTTTCTGATCCAAACCTCCATTGCTTCTAATTCTTTTCTGAGTTTTAAGTCATCAACATACTATGGTTTTCCTCATTAACCACTGTTATGATGATGAATTTACATTCCAAACTCCACCTCAAGTCTTTATTTCACTGTATTAGTTTTACCAATCATTCGTTCAATAAATATATATTTATACAAAACCTACTATATACCAATCTGTGACAAGATGCTGGGTACACAATGGTAAACCATAAAATAGTTCCAAGAAGTCAATATAGTATGGTGGTTAAGAGTATGGGCCTCATCAGAAAGACCTGGGTAAGAATCCTGGTTTGGCTATTCACTAGCTCTTTGACTTGGGAAGGTATTTCATCTTTTTGACTTATTTTCCTCATTTATAAAAAAAAATGAAACTTTGCATTGTGCCTGGCTTACATATCAAGTATAAGTGGTTAGTATTTACTACTACTGCCATTGCTGCTGCTACTATTATTAATGGAGCTTATCATATGTGTGATACAGACATGTTAACAGGCAAACTCAGTATAGTCTGTTAAGAACTGTGATATGGGTAAGTATGGAATGCTATATGAGCACAGAGTTAGTTAACTAGTTCTGTGGAGAAAAGAGTGGTCCAAGAAGGTTCTGGAGCCAAAGCCTGCAGATGAAAAGAAATTATATAATTGAACTGGGGCAAGAGTGAAGGCAGAAGCACAGAGTATTCAGGTCAAGGAGAATAATATGTGCATACGTTTGGGGACTGAAAGGAGTTCAGTATAGCTGAAGCATACTCTATGACAAGAGAAAAGCAAAGGTTGAGGTTGAAAACTGAGGGTGACATTACTCGTGGCATTGTAAACTATGTTCAAGAGTTTTGTCTTTCTCATAAGATCAATATAAAACTATTAAAAGGAGTAGGAGACTATTGGTAAGCTGCAAAGTGCCATATCAAATTTCAGATTTAGAAAGGAACCATAGCTGTGGTGTAAATAATAGATTAAGGATGGAGTTGAAAGGTAAAAAGAATTAGAGAGTGAAACACAAGTTGGAAGGCTTTTCAATATGTCTGATGCAAAAATGATGATGATCTGATCTGGGATTGTGGCAGTGGAAATGTAAAGAAGAGATCTGAAGGTCTGCTTTCTTTTTGTCCCCCATACTTCAAGCTTAAAACAATACCTACCACTTTAATATTTTCTGAGCACTCATGTATTGTGTTGGTTACTAGGGATGAAAAAGTAATACAAAGTAGTTGCTCTCAAGGAAAGTATATTCTAGAAAAGTTAGACATACAAAGAAACAATCCTAAAACAGTAAGAGAGTTCATGAATATCTAAGTAAATAGATATAGATACACATAGTGCTTTGTGGGTGTTCCAGGCTGGGGTGGCATCTGATCCAGCTAGTGTGGTATACAGTGTATGGGACCGCTTCCTAAAAAAAATGATCTTACTAGGCAAAGAAGATAATATAAATGTAGGTAGAGAGACCAGCATGAAAAAGGCCTCAAAGAAGAAAGAATATAGTTTAACATAAAATCAGCAGTTTGGTCTTGCCAAAGCATAAAGTAAAAGCCATAAAGTTACAAGCATAAGACATTATAGATGGTTTTAAGGGACCTTGTAATCCAGTTAAAGACTTTGGACTTTATCTGGTAGACAGTGGAGAGCTACTGAAGGGTTGTAAGCAGGGAGATGACAGTGACATATGACACCTGATCTAATCCTGAAAGTATATTATTATAACACTAAGTCCAACTTCTCTCTCAATTTCTTTTTCCATCCTAGCCTATAACAATGGTATTTTATACAACTGCATTACTAGTTTACTTTCATAAATCAGGAATGCTTTACCTCTCCAGAAAAAAACACACACCTGTTTAAATTGTTTAGGAAGGGCAGAAACATTGATGTGAGAGAGATACATCAATTGGTTGCCTCCCACATGTGCCCTGGGATTGAGCCTGCAACCGAGGTACATGCCCTAGCCAGGAATGGAGCCCAGGACCCTTCAGTCTTAGCTGACGCTCTATCCACTGAACCAAACTGGCTAGGGCTGATGATATTCTTTTATTTTTTTATAAGAATATCTATCATCTATCTATCTATCTATCTATCCATCCATATAGATAGATAGACATAGATATATATAGATATATATATCTATATATATTTTGATTGATTTCAGAGGGAAAGGGAGAGGGAGAGTGATATAAAAACATCAATGATGAGAGATAATCATTGATCAGTGGCCTCCTTCATGCCCCCTACTAGGGATCGAGCCCACAACCCAGGCATATGCCCTTGACCGGAATTGAACCTGGGACCCTTCAGTCTATAGGACGATGCTCTATCCCCTGACCCAAACCAGCTTGGGCTGATGGTATTCTTTTAATTTTGAATCTTAACTTACCTGATATATTTCCTTATCTTAAAGGAAAAGCAAAAAAAATGAGATACAGAGTAAATTTTATATTACAACATTATGGCATGCTGTAATATTTTAAAAGCTCTCTATAATCTTTACAAATGCTTAAGAGTTATTTATCTCATGTCCTAATATCACATAAAGACACTTTCATTTTAACTTCAATAAAAATAAATGAAATACACTAAGACCTTTCTTCCTCTTAATATGCCTATTATAAGAAGAACTCCAACTTCTTTTGTAGCATGATGAATAATGATAACTTCATTATTAACAAACAAAATGTAAAGCATAGCCGAAACCGGTTTGGCTCAGTGGATAGAGTGTCGGCCTGCGGACTGAAAGGTCCCAGGTTCGATTCCGGTCAAGGGCATGTACCTGGGTTGCAGGCACATCCCCAGTAGGAGATGTGCAGGAGGTGGCTGATCGATGTTTCTCTCTCATCGATGTTTCTGTCTGACTATCTCTCTCTCTCTTCCTCTCTGTAAAAAATCAATAAAGTATATTTAAAAAAAATGTAAAGCATAACTTCATAAACACAACACCCACTCTAAATATTTTGTAAGGCAATATCTTTGTACTATAGAGAGGATTCAAATAAATTATGCCAGGGTATATAACAAAATGAGGATAAATTATCATATATAAATTATTGATCTAAAAAATGAAGGGATGGGAAATGTTTGACATTTTAGGCAAACATTAAAGATTTCCCTCAGCAAAAAATAAAAAATGTTTAAGTCATTTACATCTCACTTGAAACCAAACTGCGTATGCATCTTAGTTCAAATGAAGTCTTAGAACAAAGAAATCTGTTCTCTTCCATGGAAAATCCTGTTGTAAACTTACAAGGCAGAACATCATTAATCAATTCAAGGCATGACTAGTAATTAAGAAAGGAAACCCTTTAATTCTACAACTTCCATAATTTATTTATTCCAGCTTGTATTAAAAATCTGTACTTCAGTGGTCATCCACTGACTTTGAACTTTTACAAATAGCTATAGACAGGAGGAAGCAAAACACTGAAACAGATTATAGCTGCAGGAAAGAAGGCTAAAGAACTATTATTCTGTGTGCATAAGTCAAAATTGCTATTGTTTTATATGACATATTAATCTCAGCTAGTTCTATCTACATGCAAACAACTGCAAGTGTAAAGGGCACAGAATATATCACCACTGTTTTTAAAACTCATTCTAAAATCGTATTATTGGCTATAAACTCAAATATACCTTAAGATAGATTTAGTTGAAGTGAGAAATAAGCTTAATATATAGACATAAGACTTTCCTCTTCTCTGTTTAAACATCCATTCATTCACTCATTTTATTCATACTCATTCTGTCCTCCCCACAATGCCCCCCCCTTCTCCATACTTCATGAAAGTCAGTGATTCTACTAAGAATTACAATATATATAAAAAAATTTCCACTAGCTCTTGGGTCTGACACAGAAGCAAGGTGACGAAAGGAATGTCATTGTTCAGCAAGCGCACAAGACGCGCACACGCTGTGCCGCCACTGTGCCTAAAAGAACTACCACCTACAGAAGTCCACCTGGGGCAAGTGTAGCTACCCCGCCAAGCAGAACAGGAAGTATAACTGGAGTGCCAAAGCTAAATGATGAAACACTACCAGAACTGGTCACGTGAGGCACCTAAAAGTTGTATACGATAGATTCAACATGGATTCTCTGAAGGAACAACACCTAAACCCAAGAGGGCAGCTACTGCAGCATCCAGTTCATCTTAAGGATTTCAAAGATTGGTCGCGAAATAGATGTTCTGGTTTAAAAAAATTTTTCCCCACTAAACTTTACTATACTAGAAAAAGTGTCATTATGAATCTAAATTAATTCAAAAGCATTTCCTGATTTTTTCACTTTCTGACAGTTTAAGATTAGTGAAATTAATTTACTGATCATCTACATAAACCTAACTATCCAAATAAAATGACTTCTAAGTCATGGCTTAACCTAGCTGCAAAGTAGGATTTTTAAGAAAATTAAAACCAATTGAAAACACATCTTCTGAATAATATAAAAAAACCCATTTACATGTTTTACAAAACGGTTCAGTACATGTATATACCTGTGATAAAATCTAATATTTCATCAAATTCAATATGCTGGTCTGAAGTTCCCATAAGTTTTAAGATTGGATTATTTTTTGTGAATATTTGTTTAAAATGTAATAAGATCTGTTCCTATTGCGCTGGTGAAGCTGTGTGCTGGATGGGGAGTAAGAAAGACAAGATGGAGAGAAGCAATGATTCATTCTGTATGACTTGGAACACCTTTCTAAATACAATTCAAATCTGTTGGTGGGAAGCAATGTACTAAAAATGAAACTAGACACACAAGTGAGACAGAGGGAGATTCTCAGATAAAGCAAGATTGGCAGAGAAGATTTACTTTAGGAACTCTCAGAAGCTGGACAAAAGAAACAGAAAAATCATCCCAGGTTTTCCCCAAACTTAATAAGCTTCTTTCATTCTCCAGAGAACATAAAACGCCCTATTCTACTTGTTATTTCTATCTGTAAATGAAAAACTATTTTTGTATTCTGATCTCACTCATGGAAATGTGGCAACATTACTCCAAATATCTCTGTTGATGTTTCCAACCAATTTATTTAGAATCAGATTGAATTTTTAAAGAAAAAAGTATTTTAAGGCCCTTAACTTTATGCAAATCAAACTTTTTTTTCCTGTATAGGCTGTCACTACTATATTGAGTATCTAAAGCAAAAATAAGAAAAAGCCAGAGAACACTGGATAAAAACATGCAGAATGACAGAAAAAATTCTATAGCTAAAAGAAGACCAGACATGGAGTGGAACAAATCCAATCCCACTACTAAAGTTTTATGTAAATCTGTGCTTTCTTTTCATATTCTTGTCCTCCCATCCTCTCAATTTTTTAAATATTTCTGGATTTGAGGGAACTTAGAAGAAACTCTCATATTTGATGAAAACTCAGGCACTTGGTGAGACAGTTGATTTGAACTGCTTAATGTGGGCAATGGTGCAATATGACCCAGACCATTCAGAATTTGAAATTCTAACACTGTTTTAGGTATAACTTAGGTATTTGATTTTATAAAGGGAATGATTGTCTTAATCAAATCCAAATTGGTTGCAGAGATTTAATTTTGTAGTTTCTCCAAGTGTTCAAGTGATTAGAGATCTTAGGCCAATATGGTGTTCCATGAATTGAGAAGTTTGAGGATCAAGAGAGTTGGAAAATAAACTTTATCTGTTATTTCTTTTCCCTCATCCTCTGGCTCTGCCCCAATCTTTTTCATTTCCTCTGTATACATGCTTCTCAAATTTTGCCAACTTTTTAAAATACTAGTCAGCTTGGAGAAAGTTTGCTGTCAATACAACAAAATAGCATACATATCAAATTGCATACTAGTGCATATCAACATATGTGTAACTCCATCTATTGAAAAAAATCCGCATTATTAACCAGTACACCTGGTATTATCTGCAATATCTGTACAAAGAGGTGAATTAACTACATCACTATGATCAAGAATAAGACTAGTACATTACCACCAACAGTCATAGATCTGGTCAAAGAAGGCTGTAATAAAGTTTCTTCATCATGAAATTGTTTCTCAAGTTCTTCTACAGATTCCTGACGGAGCTGGAGAAATTCTGCTGCCCCTGCTGCTGCTGCTTCTTTAACAGGATCTATCATTCTCCTCAGAAGTACTAGGTCATCTTTCCGGACTTTCAAACAAAGCTTCTCCATTTCTCGGATATTGGAGCGGAGTTGCTATAAAAGAAAAAATATCATTAAAGCCACCATATATCTTAGTATAAAATATCTTTATTTTCAGAGATAATTTGTGATAATGATTATGAATGAAAATGATTACAATAGAAAGTATGCATAACACTTTGCTATGTTTCATGTCTCTGGCCAAAACCAACCTCTTTAGAAATTCACATCCTTATACTTTGAATTTATTTAGTGTTTTTCCTTTATTAAATATGATTATTACAAAGGGAACAAATGCTCTTCATAATATATCGAACACTGCAGAAACATATCAAGATAAATTTAGTGATTTCCCCACTTCACCAATTCCACTACCTCTCTTAATCCACATTTCTTTTCATTCATCCAAACACTGATAGACATAACCTTTTTTTGTTTTTACAAAAAATGGATTATATTATGCACATCCCAAGTTAACCATATCATCACAGATATCCTTCCTAGTCCATGGTTGTACCATATTCCATAGTATGGATGGAATATAATTTATTCAAAGACTCCTCCAGTGGTCAACAGTCATTCATGTTGTTTCCAGTTTTATTTACTATTAATTATGAAACAAATATTCTTGAATATAAAGCCTAATACACTATAACTATATATATTAGTATTATAGTAAATACTATTATACTATATTTTGTAGAAATGATTCCCAAAAGTGAAAGTGCTCAGTCAAGGGATAATGTGCATTTTTATTTCAATAGCTATTATCATCAGCTTTTTTCCTGAACGGTTGTAACAATTCATACTACTACTAAAATATGAGTACCCATTTCCCCACATACTGCCAGTACTACATGTTATCTCATTGTTTTTTACTTTACATTTCTCTCTGAGTGAAGTTGCTGGATTTTTTCCAAATGATTCTCCCTTCTTTTAAAAAACATCCATTGGCATAATCATAAATTTTCCTCTAATGTGCTAATGAATCATGAGCAAGAGTCATGAATAGAGCCATCTTTATATTTCTGAAATAAGCCCTGCCTGGTGTGTGCATGTTTATGTAATCTTTTTTATTAAAATTTAAATTCTTTATTGTTGAAATTATTACATGTCTCCCTTTTTCTCCCATTGACTTCTCCCCGGCTGCTGCCCACCCCCGCCCCCCAGCCGCTACCACCTCCCCCACCACCCAGCACATGCCCTCACCCCCTACTGTGTCCACTGGTTATGCATGCATACAAGTCCTTTGGTTGAACTCTTAACCCCTCCCCCACCCTCCCGTTTCTTCCCTCTGAGGTTTGACCATGTGTTTGATGCTTCTATGTCTCTGGATCTATTTTTGTTCATCAGTTTACGTTGTTCATTATATTCCACAAATGAGTGAGATCATGTGATACTTATCCTTCTCTGACTGGCTTATTTTGCTTAGCATAATGCTCTCCAGGTCCATCCATGCTGTTGCAAATGGTAAAAGTTCTTTCTTTTTTACAGCAGCATAGTAGTCCATTGTGTAGATGTACCACAGTTTTCTAATCCATTCATCTGCTCATGGGCACTCAGGCTGTTTCTAAATTTTAGCTGTGCTGCTATGAACATAGGGGTGCATATAGTCTTTCTGAATGGTGTTTCTGAGTTCTTGGTATATATTCCTAGAAATGGGATTACTGGGTCAAATGGGAGTTCCATTTTTAATTTTTTGAGGAAACTTCATACTGTTTTCCATAATGGCTGCACCAGTCTGCATTCCCACCAGCAGTGTACAAGGGTTCCTTTTTCTCCACATCCTTGCCAGCACTTGTCGTTTGTTGATTTGTTGATGATAGCCATCCTGACAGGTGTTAGATGGTACCTCATTGTCGCTTTGATTTGCATCTCTCAGATGATTAGTGACTTTGAGCATTTTTTCATATGTCTCTTGGCCTTCTGTATGTCCTCTTTTTTTTATTTTTATTTTTATTTTATTTTTTTTACATTTTTTTAAAAATATATTTTATTGATTTTTTACAGAGAGGAAGAGAGAGAGATAGAGAGTTAGAAACATCGATGAGAGAGAAACATCAATCAGCTGCCTCCTGCACATCTCCTACTGGGGATGTGCCCGCAACCCAGGTACATGCCCTTGACCGGAATCGAACCTGGGACCTTTCAGTCCACAGACCGACGCTCTATCCACTGAGCCAAACCGGTTCGGCAGTGTACGTCCTCTTTTGAGAAGTGTCTATTTAGGTCCTTTGCTCCTTGTTTGGATTGTTTATTCTCCTTTTGTTAAGTTGGATGATTTCCCTACAAATTTTGGAGATTAAACCCTTATCGGACTAATAAAAAGCTTCTGCACAGCAAAAGAAACCATCAACAAAATAACAAGAAAGTCCACTGCATGGGAGAACATATTTGCCAATATGACATCCGATAAGGGTGTGTGTAATCGTTTAATACCCTGTTAAATTCAATTTGCTAATATTTTATTTGGGATTTTAGCAAATGTACATTTATGTGTGCATATGTAAACAGTGTGTGTCTATACTATCTTTACTACATTTAAACTCACTTTATTAGGGTTAAGGCAGGGTGGGCAAACTTTTTGACTC